TAATAATATTAATAGTAATAAATAAAAATAAAGTAGCAAAATTATTATAACCCTGTATAATTAAAGTACATAGAAAGTCTTAAGGAAAGCAGACTATGAGAAGTGGAGAGAAAAGATTGGTTTCTTGATAAAAAAGGTGGTGATAAAAAGTCAAGTTTGAAAGATTTGGGAATTTGGGAAAAAGGTTGTCAATTTTGGAAAATTTTAGAAAAATGTCAGAGGTTTGGAGTAAAATTGTAATTGAAATGTACATATATGTTACATTTAAATAAGCAAACTATAAAGATACGGTGTAAAGGTTGACAAAGATCATAAGATTAAGGAGAGGAGGAAGAAGACGAAAGACGAGATTGACCAGAGAGTGACCTGTACAGAGGTGAAACCCCTAAAACTGTGAGAACGGTATTTATAAAACTTTTAATAGTGTCGTACAATAATTTCGACTATTTATGAATAGAGATTCATAACAAGTTTATATTGAAATAATAGTTGTTATTTCTTTTGTGATTTGTTTTTGAGAAGAGTTGTATTTTTTTTATTAAGTTAAGTTTAGTAGGGACAGTAGGGTAGTTATTAATAATTTTTCATTTAGTACAGGTAATTAAATACCTGACATATTTGTTTCAATTTGCCCATAGTGGTTTTGTTAGAATTAAACAATTCAATTTTGGAAAAGTTTGTTTATTTAAATTTTTAATTGTTCAGTATACAGATATCAAGTTTATTAGGATCATCTTGAATAATCCTAAATAAACTAAATAAACTTAACAAACTAAATAAACTAAATTAATTAAACTAAATTTAATTGAATAAAATAAAAAAATAAATAATAATTGGATGAAATAAAGTTTATAAAGTATTGTCATTTATGAACCGACACCAGTGAGAGAAAGAATCTGCTCTAAATAAAATAAAAATAAAAAAAAAAATAAAATATTAAAAGGTTAGCCGAGGTAAGTTAAGTTTAGTGTGTATTTTAAAATTGTGAGGTTAATAGAGAACATAACAATACATTGATATCCTACCTAAGAATTACTTGTAATATTCAGTCCTATGAAATACAATTTTTGCTTACCCTTTGCCACTTATGTAGTGTTCGATTTCCAAAACCAAGTGAATTTAAGCTGTTTGCTAACTCTTCCCATAATTCTCGAAATTTCTCCTTTCCATTTAAAACAGACAAATGACCCGTTGCAAAGTCAGGATGCCTTTCCATAAATTCGATTAATAAATTAAGATGTTTAATTGTTTAAATGATCAATTACAACCTACATATAAGCCTATCTTTTCCAGATTAACCTTCTAGTATTTTCAATTCAACAAGTACAATGAATCCCATCATCCTCACTAGTTTCCTAAATCCTTTGTAAATCCTTCAACTTTTTACTTGTAATAATATATATAATAGCCCCCTTTTTTCAAAAAATACATATTTATTATAAATTTCCTTAACCTCAATCTAATGTCTAATGTCAAATTCTTCTTTTTTAAAATATCAAATGTCACTCTAACTTCATAACACCAGCAGAACTTATTTGTGGCCTCTCCAAAATCTTGGACATCCTGTCAAATTGTTTAAATTTATACTATAAAATTTGTCACAAAACTAATTTAACATATTCAATTTAACTAATGTCAAATTTAATTATTATTAGCTCAACCATAATTGTAAGTACGTGTCTTCCATCATATGTCAGTTGTCAAATGTCGTAAATTCTCCACCATTTTCTCATTTAACTTCACCGCTGGATGACGAAAGTGTCAAGTGAATTTTTCTAAAAAAAGTCAAGTTAATAATTAATGATACCCCTTAAACTTAGGCTTAAGGGTGTACACGAACGGGACTCCGTCTACCCCATTTGCACTGGGGATAGGGGGAGTAGCGGTATTTCCCCAAAAGTAACACTTTCCACATGGTGCCTTAAGCACACATGTGGAACTTTAAAATTGATCTCTTTCGAAACCACCTTCATTAGATGGAGGCAGGCGAGGTTCAAGATTGAACAGTATCCAACCTCGAATGAGGGAGGCAGTATGTGCCAATATTTATAATTTTTTACAATTTTTACAATTTAAATTTTTAATTCAACATACTTAATTTTTTCTGTGGACACATAGTGGTAAGACACCTAGCATTTCTATAAAAACGTTTTGTTATCCTAAATTATTATTGCAGATTCTACCAACCTACAAAAATTTTTTTGCCTGATGATGACCTTTTAGGTCGAAAGCGCTTGCAACCCAACCTAATAAATTGATGTGGTCGACAGACTTTGAGCCTTTTACTTCCCTTTACTTCATTATTTATTTATGATGAGAACCTACAATTTCAATTTTCAAGTTCCTACCTTTAAAAAAATCGATATTTCCAAATAAACTTTCACCCCCTGTTCCCCCCCCCCCCCTAAAATGTGATAATCCAAACCCCAAAAACATGTTATTATTAATTTGTCCTCATTAGCTCTTTTCATGTTTCTAACTTCAAAGAGAACAAAAAAGTTATACTCTTATACAATTTTTTACCCCCGTTTGTCCCTCCTCAAGATGTAGAAATATAAAAACCCTAAAATACATTATTATTAATTCGTACTTAGTAGCTGCAATTCCAATTTTCATGTTTTTAACTTTAAAGAGAACCAAAAACATGGATACTTCCAAATAAATTTTCACCCCCATTTCCCCCCCTAAAATGTGAAAATTCAAAACCCTGCAACACGTCATTAAAAATTTGTAGTCAGTAGCTGCAATTCCAATTTTCATGTTTCTAACTTCACAGAGAACAAAAAAAATCGATAGTCCCTTATAAACTTTCACCCCCCGTTTTCTCCACTTAAAATGTAAAAAATCGAAAAACCCTGAAACACGTCATTTATTTTTGCTCAGCAGCTGTAATTTAAATTTTCATGTTTCTAACTTTAAAGAACAAAGAGTTTCATTAAAAGCTCCCTCCCCCTATTTCCTCCCATTTCCCCCCTTTAAAGTTAAAATTTCCAAAAATCCTTTCTTAGCGGATGCTTATGTTATAAAATAAACCTATGTTCCAAATTTCAGCTTTCTAGGCCTTGTAGTTTTGGCTGTACGCTGATAGGTCAGTCAGTCAGTCAGGACAAACAATTTTATATATATATAGATTACGATATGCATATATAGAAATTATTAATTTTGTATTAGAAAATAAGAAACATAAATTAAAAATCATACAATTTAATGTTGTAATTGATAGATTTACCTATTTAACTTTCTAAAAATAATAGAAATTTACATAATAGTAATGATTGTAGTGAGGAGAAATAATATTTGTATTTGTTACAGGATCCACTTGAAACTGAAGTTGATTGTATGGAAGAGTAAGGTGATGGAATTGCTTCACATACTGATTTAACAATGGAAACGTTGGCTATACAGTTTGAACAGTTGAGTTTTGCCAGCAAATAAATTTCAGATTTAGAGAAAAAAATAGAAAATACCCCCTTTGGACTTGTGGATAATACTAATAATATTCGCAAATGGAAATATTATACAGGTTTTCAGTTCAAGTTTGTTGAAATTATTTTTTGCAACATTCACGATATACCATTCTGTCTGAAGATGCCCCTAGTTGTGGCCATCTTTCATTCACTAATAGGCCCACTTCATTCATTGTAAAATATTCATGATTTTCTCTCATAAAATCCTTATATTTTTAAGCAGCTACATGTTCATGTTCTAATCCCCAATTTGTGGCTTTAGTACTAAACAATACCTTTGTTGGATAACAAATACCTTTTATAAGAGATACAGATGGGGTTTGTTTATTTGTCCTACATACGGCTTTACATTTAGACGCAGTTATTCTATCTGCTCTCTGTTTATACCAATTTTCGTTCGTATGTTGACGTCTAGTCTTTAGTTCTTTATTAGTTGATCTTTAGTTAAAATTAATGAAATCGTCTTTGATATTTTCATCAAGTCTTCATATGTTTTGACCTCATACTGTATATCGTATACTTGAAAAATGCTTGGGAGTATTTCGTTTGCAGCAGATTCTATTTTACTGGCAAAAGGTTCAACAAATCTCATCAGAACACTTCCTCCAATGGTTTCTAATTTAGAAAGAAAATCAACAACTTCTGTCTGCGTCATTGCTTTAATTTCTGTTGTTTTATGTGCCCCGAAGTAGATGTTGTACCAAAATCCATTTCAGTTGTAGGTCCAATGGGTACCGTTGTAGATAATGATGGCATAGGCCACAACGCACCTACATCAGTACATGAAAAATCATCTTTTTGAGATTGGCATACTCAGCTGCAAATAAAACAGCAGCAATATAACTACAAACTTCACTATTGCCAGCCATGCACATACAGTGAGCAGTAGTCACTGCCCCATCCATGGTTAAAATGCATCACACATCAAGAGGTTTCACATTTGCCCTCTGGGAATGTTTTCCCTGAAAACAAAATTTATTACAGAATATAATTAAACTATCCTATATATTTTTCTCCTTCAACTAATTACTAATAAAAGTTTCCAAATTGTATTTTCAGAGCAACTTGATTTCTGAAATTTACATAAAATGTAAAATAAATGTGTAGTACCTACTAAATGTATCTCTAAGGTGGCTTTTGTAACCAAGACAATAAACATCTCTCAACTTAAGTAAATAGAATAAACTTACCTTTCCAACCAGCACGTAAAAGTTATTTATAAGTGTCGTTCCAGCTTTAAGGACAAAACCAGATGAACAATATTTGTAGGCTTGAAGGCTTTTGAAGGCTCTCATCTGCTCATTGGAATAATAACTATGTGTTAATAATAAATATGTTATAATGTACATATTTGTAACTGGTGGAATCCCATTAACTGTGTAATCTAAATCAAGGGATTGAAGCGTAAATGGATCTATGCCTTGAATAGATTGAACTTTCATCAAATACCTGCAAAAATATTACGTTTTTAAACCTTAATCAACTAATTTATCTTCCAGAAGTACAAAATAAAAACAATGAGTTATAACCTACCTTTCACCAACATCTCGGTTTTCCAACCTCCTTAAATAGTCACTCTGCATAGTATCGAAATTAAAAAGTCTTAATAAATTAACTAAAAAACACAAAAAAGTTAAAATACTTTTAAAAACCACTAAAAAACAACGCCCAATGTAAATATCCAACAACAGCAAACAAACGCACAAATTGATTGTCTGCCTGTCAGACGCCATATTGGGTCACATGGTTTGGATTGCCTAACTAGAGAGCTTTCGCATGTTCTGATACCGTAAGGCGCTAGTACCGTCAACGGTAACTTGACATGCGCAATAGGTATTTCAAAATACGGGGACGATGGTTGCGTTAGTGCCCAACGCAGGTAAGGGACTTTTACCGATACACTTATTTGACCTTAACGTCAGATTTAGTAACTTTTTATCCCATTTAGTAATTTTTCATGTCCTTCATCTGTACTGTTGCTGCATCTGTACGCTTCATTTTTCTGTCAAAAGTCCTTTTGCTAGTAGTTAGTTTTTATATTTCTTGGTTTTAGTTAAAATATTTTTATTAAATAAGTACTTTTTTAAGTTTTGTTTCTAGTTTTTTGTGGCTAGATAAACGCATTTAGACAAAGAAAAATTTACTGCAAGTATTCTTCTAATGCTGGTGGATCTACATTAAAATAAGTGGAAGTCTGGCCCCTATACAAAGTTGTGTGACAGTTTATCAAAATTGTGGCACTTGAATACATTGCACCAATGTCCTGTAAGAGTAACTTTTGCTTTTTTTTAAGTCTAAAAATGCAAGTAAATGTGTTAAAAACAGTAAACTTATTTTATTAGACAAATAAGAAACCTGGGCATATCTCTCCAGTCTTTGAAAATTCAACCATCTTAAATTATTGAAGTTGGTTAATAGATGGCCCCAATTATTAAAAATAAGGGTTACCATGTTTTAAGTAAATAAGTAAACTTATCGCTCACTTCATGCCTATTTTCAGTTCTTATTTCATTGGGAATTCTTAATGCTCTGACTAGGCGATGTAAATCTTGTCTTTCAAATCTAAAATTTAATTTCACCTCTTCCTCACTTAATAATTCTAAATGAAATAAACCATACTGTATTTGCCGTAGTCGAGGAGGACTTTGTTCCATAAGCAGATCACAAAGAATTGCATCTTCTAATTCATCATTATTTAAGCCACCTAAAGCCGCTATTTCGAATAGATTTTCTATCTTTTTTAGAAAACTTACTAAACCAAAATACGTGTCGGACAGGGTTGGCAGATCTTTGTAATAAAAAAGCGGGACACTGTCGTTTCAGTAAAAGGGCCACAAATTTTTTAGAGCCACGCTAAGTATTTTTAGGCATTTACAATAAAACAACAGATGACATCATTATTTATACCCTATATATACAGGGTGTTACTTAATGATAGGCCGTAATTCCAAGGGCGCATGCTTGAACCAAGTAGAAAAGTTTAACGATCGAAGTTAACTTGATCTTATTGTTAATTTTAATAAAAGTGGTTTTTCAAACGAAGTAAGATAAAAAAAGTTGTATTTTTAGCTGATTAATAGAAAAAGAAATATATAAGTTGAAAAGTCAGTGGCGTATATTTTTTTGTAAATATTATTCATAAGACTGCTCCTCATCGCGACGCCACTGAAACTCATAATTATCTTCTAGTCAGTATAAACTTAGCGTCGTATCACAATGAAGAACACTGCCAAATTTCAACAAAGTAGAAAAATGGATCTTTGAGATATTAATAAAAAACCTATTTCTTTTAAACTTTGACATCTGTATCTTGAAATCCAGACTTTTAAGAAACATTTGTATATAAACGTTTATACTTGAAATTGGTTCAGCAATGCGCCCTTGGAATCACAACCTATCATTAAGTAACACCCTGAATAAATAAACGTTTCAGAACAACACATCAGAAAACATAATTATATATAGCCTATGCGGTAGTGGCCATAGAACATCTTCCAATACCCCTTGACACAAGTGTGTGTGAAAACTACAGAGAGCCAGCACTAACTAGGGCAAGTAGGAAAGAAACTTACAGTGATGCCAGCCTATACGGCCTGGGCAAGGTTTCAACGCGGTCACTTCGTATAAATGGCAACGTTGACATCATTCCTTCTCCCGCTCGCTCCAATGCCTACTCTATGTAGCATTCATACGCAATTGTGGATCGCGTATTGGAAGTTCAGTGGCCGACTTCGTGTATAAATAAACACTTCAGAACAACACACCAGGAAACATCAATTTTTAAGCGCTATACATGTTATGTTGAGAAAATATATCAATAGGTAAATAATTCATATTTCAGCACCAGAAATGTAACTGTTAGTTACCATTTTTCCAAATAAGATATGGTTATTTATAAGAAAGCATTTGCTTGTCTCTTAAACTGTATAATTTTATAACTATCATCAGAACTTAGTATTATATTCCTTGCTATGGCTCCATAAAATTCTTGATCGAATTTAGTTTGTAGACTTCTTTTTAATAATATCACTGTCTTATGAAGTTTTAGTATTTAGTAATTTTTGAATGGTGGTTTTCATAGTGGACCCTACATTTACTAAGAATCCTAGAAGAAAATGAATTTATAAATTTATTTAGCCAATATAATGTGTTAGAAGAATTCTTTACCTAGATACGCCTCAGCAAATTCATCCTCAGAGAAATTTTGTAAAATGGCTGGTGGAGACGCCATGGATAGAAAAAGACTAAGCCACCTGGTTGCTACAGATTTTAATAGTTCACTCCACTCAGAATCGTAAAATTTAAAAAATTCTTTGAGTTCCTTGGTTTTTTTCGTTCTGCTTGAAAACTCATTATAACATTTAATGATAATCAGTTCGACATCGTACCTAAAAAGTTTTTTAGTTCGATTCTTATTGGATTTGTTTTAAAACTTAAAAAATGCCAAATTTAAAATTAATTTACTTGACAAAATAACACATCTTGCCTTAACCCTCGGTCACCCGCGTTTAATTTCGAAACAATAGTACCCGCGTGGAGTCTGTGAGACGCCATTCAATTAAATCATAAGAATGAAATGAACATATGTGCTATAGGTTTTATTTAAATAATTTACATTTCTCATATATATTTTATTGTTTTACTTCAAATTCTCAAACAAAAATTATTTCTTACCAACAGTAAAATAAAATATGTAATAAATATAACATCATTTAGATTTTTAAACTTATGAACAAAATAAATACATAAAATACACAGATAACTTCTTAGTATAAATAGAATAATACAACAAAATTAAAAAAATATCAAATATCTAAATACAATAATAACTATTTCATTTGAAATACATGACTGGCATATTATGTTCTGCATGCTCGAAGCATATAGAATTATGGCATTGCTTGAACTTGTATTTGTTCTTTTTTTTTTTTCTACTACACATATCTAGTACACGTATTAGGAAGTTACATGAAAGCAGAAGTTTGCATCTGACTATTTTAAGAAGTTGGGTGTATTGTTAATGAGAGTGGCGTCTGTCAGACGCCACTCTCATTATGGATTATTTGACATACACAACCAATTGGTATTATGCTGTCGTTTAACTTTTCAATTTCCGTAAAAACACTTTGGTTTTTGTCAAAATTCACTGATGCATTATCGGCACAATAGGCCGTAACCTCTGCAATTGATAGCTCAGATTTCTTTAAATTTGTATTTATGCTAGATGAAATATCCTTAGATTTTTCTGACGGGGACGAGTAGAAATTTGAAAGCATTATCTTAGTTCCATTCTGTTTTTTAAAGTACCTTAGTATCAATGGAAATGTTTTAATATTTCCTATATTGGATGAATCACTTGATACCGAGAATGGGTGATGATCTTGCAAGTCTTCTATTATTTTTCTATGGGTATAGGGAGCTAACACATTGGTGACAATTTTTGTTCCTTTTGTTCTACCCTTGTGCCATCTGCGAATCAAGGAAAAGTTTTGAGAGTATTTTTACCAAGTCTACTGATAAGTAGCTGTGCGAATGTTGCACTGAATGGTAAATCAATCCGCATTCAGCAATTTGTAATTTATTTTTGCTGCTGGCTGGAAAAAATTGTTTTCAATGTTTGTGTGTTTGCGGCTTTTTGAATATTTTTAAGATGTTTGGTGGTTTTATTATGCCTCAAAATGTCACCTTCGCCGCTATGGCCAATTGAAAACAGGGAATCACACAATGTGCATTTAGCCATATGTTGCAAATTACCTTTTATAACAGAGTATTTTGATAAAGGTAGGTAGGTACCCGCTTAAAAAATATTTGAACGACTAAGTTGTTTTATGCAGTTTAGGTAAATATACAGGGTGGCGCTCGAAAACGAAACAGATACATTTACTGGCAGCTCAGTTCTTTATTGGAAAAATGTTCATCTTCTCATCTTTCGATGCATTTTTATACGACACACAAAGATCGCACTGATCTTTTTTAGGTACGAAAACTCTAATATTAAATTTTGTATTAAATATTCTTGAGTAATAATCGTATGTGACCGATGGTTGGAAATAATCTCTATGCATTCCCGCAATTGTAAGCCCACCATCTAAGAACTCACGATTTGTCTCTTTACGATCATAATGGCTCTCAATTCGCGGAATTGAATTAATATGGTCAAATACAGAATTCGTTAGCTCTTCATCTATTTTTCTGTGGTTGTCGTGTTTCCCTCTGCGATCTTCTGCAATATTGCCTTGTTCAGATACTCTTAAATAAATTACAGTTTTCATCATTTTTTTCTGATATCCCAAGTGTGTTGATCAAGAAGGTCTTATATACTCTGATTTTTTTCCCATTGTCACGAAGATAAAATGCACAATTTGGTTTCCTTGGATATGCTGAAGATACTCGTCTATATTTAAGAAATAATTATTCCACACATGACCCGAGGAAATCCCGCTCGCGTAGCGAGATTCCTAAGTTCCAGAATTCTTTAAATAAAAGTTTGCGACATTCTTCGGAATTTTTTTTAGAACAAGACAATACATTTTCCGGTGCAAGCAG